CGGGCTTGGCACCCGGGGGGGCACCCACCCTGCTGCAAAAAAAAACCCCCCAAAATTATAAAAAAAAAAAAAAAAAAAAAAAAAAGACTTCCTATATCAGAAAATCATTATACAGCAGGCTAAAGTATTCATGAAAATGATCTAAATAAGCCATGTGAAGGTTTCCCAGGTGTGCTGTATTCAACAATTAGCATGTGGGTTTAGTGGAGAGAGGGCTCCATTTTGCATTTCTTAGACTTCTTTGAGAACAGAGTGTCTGATAAAGTAAATCCTGGCTGGCAAATAAAGTTTTCTAGTAAAACTATTATCTACTGGCTTTATCATATGGCTGTTATCTTCCCAGAGTTAATTAGAATATATATTATTTCAAATTGTTACCATACTGTGTTCACTGACAGACAAATGCAGGCCAGTTTTCCAAGCCATCATATTACAAGGAAACTTAGTATAGAAAATTTCCTAATGCTGGAGGTTAAAATCTGTGGTTGAGTTGAGCTATGTAAGTAACGGGAATTTTAATGCTGAAGTGTGCCTAAGAACTATGGATGGTACTTGAAAATTACCTATCTTTACCTTTTAGCTTTATAAGGAAACCTGCAGGTCAACCTGCATAAAAGCTGCCCAGACACAAGCCAGAGACTCAGCTCTCTGTACAATTCCAGGCCGGGACAAGACGGCCAAGGCAGCCACACTGGCTGATAGCTATCCTGTAAGAGATGGAGGCCAGCCATTTCAAAGTGACCTAAAACGTGTTCATACTGGAGGTAGGAGGAAAAAGCCACAGTTAGTGCGGGGGGCCTCCCCCCTCTCACCTGTCTGGAGTTCGCCTCTTCCCGTTTTCATTCACATCGAGAAGCAGCTCTGAGGAGTCAACAGGGGAGGTGGTGCTGGCATCCAGAAGCAACTGTTCATGCTGGGCGAGGTACTGGGCAGGGTTCTGTTTGGCCAGCCTTGCGCAATGGAGGAGTTCACGCTGTAGCAGGGGCAGGTTGGCCTGCAAGAGCATGATGGGCATGAGATGGGACACAGCGTGTCAGTCTGCCTAGTCAGCCTACCACTTAAAAACTGGAGCAGCCCAGGCTATCTGGACAATTCACGGTGTCCTCATCCGATGTATGCCTCAGGTCAGGCACAGCTCTCAGGCCAGGGCCTGGGCTGCTGTGTCTAAGCTATAAGTCACTTTGCCTCTCTGCTTTTTCCTCGTTGATAACACTACCATTGGCACCTGTGATTTTTAAAGACCCTAAATATTATAGAAGCTCTACAGGACGTAAAATTCCAGCTCCATTCACAGATTTTGATCTTTCGCAAAGGATATGGAAAGTACACGTCCCACAGTTAAACTCAGAAAAGGCACTGAGGCACATTCAGTTGTATTCCATGACTTAGGTTAAACAGGCTAATCTCATGAAATACCTTTTGTCAACTCCTAACTTAGAGACTGAGAGGTAATTCTGGACATCTCTGGTGTAATAAAATAGACAATTTCACACAAGGTAAGATATTAAAACAAAACCAAGCACCGCGTTTTATTTACTCTGAGCTGCTTTGACATTGTAAATTCATATTGCTGCTGGTGTTTTTTTTTTTTTTCTTTCTCTTTTATGTATCTTTATGATACTTTATACAAGTTCTGGAAAATGACTCACAGTTAGTATAGATCCCTGATTCAACTTGTTGAAAAGTGTGACCAAGTTTGG